ATTCGCATCTGCAAAACATGTATCTTCGGCCAATCATCTGAGAGCAACTGAGAGCGCATCCCAGCACCCAGAGCACCCAGAGCAAGTTGAAAATCTTGCTTTCGGTGCTTTCAATGCTGGAGAGCGCTCTCCAGCCAGTACCCTTGCTCTGGCAAACATACAGGTTTTGCAGATGGAATCATGAAAATCCACAAGCACATCACGCAATCCTGAAAGCCTCATTGCACCCATATCATGGAGGCATTTGTCTCTTTCTTCCTTCTCCGCTTTCCTCATACATCTTCCTTTTCCGCTTTCCTGTTCTGAAATCTACGGACCTGTATCTTGATGGTTGCTGTTGCGACATTATAATTAACAAGATGGTCGATGGTCGCATGGCACTAGAATTACGGGAATATAGTCTAGAGAGGGATGGTTGATTGTGGGATCACCTTGCTTGATTACATAGCGTGGGAATGATTGTGAAAGTGCGTGTCAGCTGTCAGGCTGACAGGGCGCCGGCTGTGAAAATGTGAAAGATGAATGTCTGATCTGTGGGATGCATGAGGATGCATGGAGGAAGGCAAAGGAAGGCCTGGGGATGTGTAACATTGATAATCATTTTATTAATATCTAGTTGATCAAAATGAGGGAGATCAAACAAAGTGTACGAGGCAGATTGAATACGGAATGACAGCAAAAAACTGATTGTGAGCCCCACTGTGGCCGTGGCAGGCGGGAGCTGACATTACTGAAGTACACGCAGATATGCATGCCCCATAATCTCGTATACCTTGTTCAGCCGAGATATACACCACAAATGATCTTCATTGAAGCTCCCACATACCACAACTCGGATGATTATTTAACACAAGTGTATGTGCTCTCCTCTTCACTTGCGCTGCCCATCGCTTGTAACCATACAGACGAACAGATTTTTCTCGTGTGTCAGTCAGCCTTGAGAATATCTTCGGCGCTCACCTTACTTACTCTTGTGGTTGTGGACAATTCCACAAGATGTCAGCTCAAAGGAGGCCACCAGGCTATCATTCCCTTAGGGGTGCACCTGGTGGGAATGACTATGATCAACGAGGCGGTCATTACTCGGACTGGCCTAGGCGGGAGCGAGTTGAGCTCGTAAGTCCAGGAGAATACATTCCGGAGACCACCTTAACTGACAACTTCTGATAATGATGATTCAGATTGTCGGTCAAACTCCTCCAACTCGGAGGCAGCATCAGTCCAGTACCAATATCTCAGGCGGTATGATGAGTAGTGTCGGGGGGGCACAACATATCAGCGGAGACCATCACACATCAGACACTAGCAACCATATTGGTGTTCAAAAAAATTACTATAATACTAACTACGTCCTATTTGATTTCAAATCTACGGTTACGATGTATGTGGACAATATTCTTGCGATGCTTTTCTGCACCCCACTGAATTCCCATAGCTGTTTATTTGGGCGAGGTGATACCGGGACCATGAGTTGTACAAATAAAAGCTAGTACTCTCAGAGGCACATGTTCTTGGACTTCACCGTTGAGGTATTTTCAATTTCCAATTTGAAGTCGTGGTTCGAAGGTTTATATCATTGTTAGTGCCTTTCTTTAATTCAACAGCAAATTTTGTATTGAGTAGTCAGCTCTTGCCAAAGAGGGCCTCGACTTTCAACTTGCGGTGTTCCAGAGAGACATTGCGTCATACCATTCATGGGCTTCGGTGTTAGTGCCTCACACTGGAGTCTGTGATTGACGGTATCTGCCTCGTTGGATCCTCGTTATATACCACATCTTTGGAAAATCATGTAGATCACTAAAATTTTACGAGCCCAAAAAAGACTCTACTGTTCTAATAGGACTTCTGAATTGGAATTGACGTCAGTCAAGAAGATGGGTCCAAAGTGAAGGTATGACTGACAGGTTCAATTTGCTATCGTCGTTCCACTGTTTCCTCCCCACAACAATTTCCGATATGAATTATGAACAGGACTCCAGCGGATTTTTTTACTGTAATTCGATACAGTCATTTGCTACAGCAATCAATATTTTATGAGTTCACATAAATTCCAAGTTGTGCGCAATTTACCAAGACTCACCACGAATGACAATGACAATACTCCGATACCCACCCACCACCTCGTGTCCCTTCTTTTATACCCCATCTCTCACCTCCCATCACGCCACATCCTCGCCATCTCTCCCTCTCTATCACAAAATCATGGCAACCAGTACAAGCCCGTTTCGATTCCAGATTACTAGAAACTCCCAAATACCGGAAGATTCTCAACCCCGAATATCTTCGCGAATGGGTCAAGAGGCAGCACTACGAAAACCGGACGCGTAAGGCGTATCTATCTACTCGACATTTATCTGATGCGTTAGTTTCCTAGATCGCTGAAGATGATACTGCTAAACTATCTGCCAAACGCCAACAGCTATTGACTCCTATCAAGTTTCGGCTTGACCAGGTAGAATTTTGAATTGAAAGCCGCCCTGTAGTTAACAATCCTCGTTTCGAATAAATTGCCTTGGGTGCCTCGACGCAACCTCGAGTTAACTATTTGCCCCGTGTGCCAATGAGTTGTTGTGCCTTTTTCTCGGTGCCCTCTTCCCTACTCTTCCAACGTCAGAGCTATCCGGGGTGCTTCGAACTTGCATTGGATTTATTTCATGCCTTTTTTAGGCAAAGGATGTCGATCAGTTCCATGAGGGCTGCTGAGGCGTGTGATCGTTGAACGTTGAAATTAAATTTGAAAGCCGATTGTTGGATTCTCACGACCTTAAATATTAATACTATTTTCATCCTCTTTGCATCTTTATGTACAACTGCTGCGCTCCCATTTCTTCCATTCTCCAGGATGAGTACAAGACGTCGTATCAATGTGACTGCCGATGACCTTGTCTCGACAAACAAAAATCATTCCGATCTGAATCATTGCTCCTCCTCCTCCTAGTAAGTTCCCCTTCTTATCCTGGGGGTGTATAAATCCCCCTTGACCTCCTTATCTTCACTAGTCACGCAAATCACAATCCAACTCACAATTCACAATTCACAACTTGATTCTTCCAAGTAACAATTCAAACGTTAACGTTCACCGGTTCCAGTCTTTCTATTTTTTCACCATGAAATTTCTCGCTATCTTCATCATCACCAGTGCTTTAGTTACCACATCCACAAACGCACTACCCATACCGCGTGTTGTTGAACGCAACCCCGCTCGTCACGCGTCACTTCCAAGGATCGATGCCACCACCTTCTAGCCTTGGTTCGCCCTGGCACTTAGCTCATTACAACGGTACCGATTGTCGTTCCGACGTCGATTGAAAAAAAAATGACCGTGGACGCAACTGCGTTGGCGTAGATGGGCGCTTACTAGATATGTCCAGAAATCAACCCAGTACGATCTAGTTTTCCGCTGGAAAGGCAATAAAAACTGGACCGATACAGGCCTATCTAACTAATTCTGAAATTGAGAATTTTCCGGTTAGACACAGTTATTTCCAGATATATTTGGACCAGCCCAGAGCCGGTTTTGACTGGGCCTGAGCGCTGATGACCTTGTCTCGACAAGTAAAAATCATGCTGAATCATCGCTCCCTCCTACATATTTCCCCTTTATTCTGGGGTACACATAAACCCCTCGACTCCTCACTTGGACTCAAACCATAACTCAAGTACTAAACTCCGAGTCACAACTTGATTCAGTTCCGATTTACAGTTCATCTATTTTGTGTCTTATCCATCATGAAGGTTCAAAGGTTTTCGCTGTCTTCCATCACTCTTCCATTGCCAGTGTTTTGTTTGCCACATCCACAAATACACTACCCATACTACGTCTTCTTGCTGAACGCAACCGTCCCGCTCGTCACGCGGCACGCGTCACTTTCAAAGATCGATACCACCACCGCCACCCTTCTAGCTCACCCCACATAGCTCATGATAACGGTACCGGTGACGGTAGCGGTAACGAGAATTACAAAAATCACAAAAATCACAAAAATTACACTGAAAATTACACTGAAACCAATACTAAGTACCGAGTCCGGTACCATCACCACTACCAACACCTTTACCACGACCACTTGCATCCCGAAACAACTCTGCAGTTGTCTTCGAAGCCCCCGCCTCCTGTCGAAACAACAACCCAAACCCCAACCCCACCCGATTGTGGTTCCGACGACGTCGATTGGAAGTGACGCAACTGCGTTGGCGTAGATGGGTACAGAGGGTGGTCTCCCGGAGGGAATAGATTCCCCCTCCCTGTCAAACACACACCAGTGGTAAGTTTTTTTCGACTCAATTAACGTCCTCGCGCGAAGGTTATTAAATAAATAATATTCCACAAATCCTCTCAAGTTCGGAAACTCAGTCAAACCCTCATTAACATTATCTGCCTGGCGAGTGTCACACACATCTTCAACTTGAAATTTCCTACACAATCACCAATTTGAACTTGTGACTCTTCTTCTGATCTATCGTAATAAAAAGCTAGGGTCGCGACCATAACCAAGTATGTCGTTTCATCACGAGCAGAGTATGAAGCTCATCTCACGAGTCGTGAGGACCGCTCCATCCATCCCCTTCCATCCCCACAAGCATGCACGCATATGTATTATGATCCTGATGATGATTATGACTCTGAATTCGGTGTATGTTTTCTGAGGTTTTCTGATTCCACGTTCGGCGTTCGCAGTCACTTCAAGTAGTGGCACTACATAGCACTACATCTACTACACACCGCTTGCTCATAAGTACTTATTAATATCATCGATGCTCCTGCTGCTGATGCTCCTGCCACTATCTTATCTAGATCAAATCCAGACAAAACCCCAGGGTCCCACACCTTGCAAATTGCAATTGATTCCTTTCCTTCCTAGTATCCAAATTCTTCAAAAACCATTCACTGCCTACATTCGGTGACACAGTTCATTCGACACTTGCTCCGAGTTCAGATTCAAGTATCCCATACCAACCAAACTAAACCCCTCCTCCAACATCCAACATCCAACAACGAATCCGACGTGGTGTAGTGGCTAACATTATCGCCTCTCATGTTATCAGGAAGTGTGACTAAAGCGCGATAGCCCGGGGTTCGATTCCCCGCGTCGGAATACATCATTCTCCACCATGATGTTTTTTTGGTTTCCCGCAAAAAAAAAAAAAAAAAAAAAAAAAAGAAAGAAAAAAGGAGTTGAAGTTGAAGCCGAAAGGGGGGAGAAAGAGGGGAATTCAAAAACCGAGAGGGGGAATTTGAAACTGAGAGGGGGAATTTGAAACTGAGAGGAAAAGAAACACGCGCAATCGATGAAGATTGAAAGTTCTGATACAAGACTATAATGTGCCCCTTTGAGGTTTAGTTTTAGCTGTGAATTAGATGAATTGATGGATTGAATACGAATGGATGTGCGAATACGAATGGATGTGCGAATACGAATGGATGTACGAATACAAATGGATGTGCGAATACGAATGTATGTGCGAATACGAATGGATATGCGAATACGAATTGATGTGTCGATGTCGATGACTCGGATGAAGGAACGGTCGGTCGAATGTTGAATATTTGAATGAACTGGTAGGAATCTGGGATGCGGCGGACTCGGGGGTACTACTAGTAATAGAGCTTGAATTTAGTACATCACCAGTGGGCGGGCACTGCACTGGTGCACTGGTGCACTTGGGACTTGGGACTTGGACTTGGACTTGTGTGTGTTCCCATCCATGTGTACTCGAAGGGTACTTCAAGTTTGAACTGGTATTCAAGTTGACCGCGGGAAAACGTAGCACACACCGTTGAGTCAAAGTTGTGAAATATTCAATCCAGGCTCAACACCTCAACCCAATACCACCCATGAACAAACCAATAACAATAATTCAATACCTATACCCAGGATTCACGGATTTGACATAGTATATACACCATTTCCCTCGGAAACCTCAGGCTTTATACACTATACACTAATACACAGAATCAATACGATACGGAAACGCGTCCATCGATTCCCGGTACCCAATAACCAATACTCGATACTCAATACCCAATATCCATCTTGACACACCCACTCAGAACCACAACTTCCCATCCTAAAACCCCCCAGCCCCCCTAACCCTCTGCACCGCGCCCACCATGCCCCTCGCCCACGAGAACCTCCCCGGATCAACCCCAATCGCACCCTCAACCATCTCCCCACTCACCGGATCATGCCAACACCCGTCCACGGGGGATACGCGGCCGTATATTTCTGTTCGAGAGCGAGGGAGGAAAGGAAAGAGAGGAGGAAAGGGAAAGGAAGAACGGAAGAACGGAAGAAGGAAAGAAGGGAGGGATGTGATTAATAAACAGCTCAAAAAAAAAAACAATCCATTGATTTCAAAGTATTATACGTACCAGTGTTCTGATTTCTCCTAACACCCTCCATCCACCTCCTACACACCTCCTCAGAATCAAGAAGGATATTAATTTCCTGGGAATGAAACCACGTCTGGGTGTCTTGGTTCCCATTGCCCTGCATCCCGAGGTGGGCGTCGACGATGAGGAGTTTTACTACAGTGGAGTGGTGTTGATATGAAGTCGTAAGTGATCCTTGAAACTTGCGCAGAAGAAAAAAAAAAGAAAAAGAAGAAGAAAAAAAAAAAAGGAAAGGAAAGCAAAGGGGGTAACTCACTATGACAACTCCTCTTCTTAAACTTGTTATGTATCGGTCTATCCTGATCCTTCGCGACGTAATTGAATATCTTCAACCGGGATTTTTCTTCGTCCGTCAGGGTGTCTACGGGGTCTGAGTGAGAGGAAAGGTTCGAGTGAGAGGAAGGTTCTTCGTCGTTCGTTGTGGGCTGGAGGAGCCCCGGATCATTATACAGCCTATTCGCAATCATCTCGTTCGTCCCGTTCTGATACGGCAACAACTCTCCCTAAACACCAAACGTCAGAACAAATATATATATATATATATAACTCAAAGCTCGGGGCACCCACCGCATCGTTATACCCCAAACACACCCACAGCTCGACCTCGACTCCTCTGCGCACCGCGGCGACCAACTCCGGCAGCAGGGGCTCCGCGTTCAAATTCGGAGTCTGGATGAATATGCTCTCCTTCGCTCCCCTTACCGCTTCGAGAAACGCCACGTTCTGGGGATACCGCACCGCATGGGGGACGGAGAACGTGGGAGTGCCTAGCGGGGCGCGGGAGGCTATGAGCATCGGAATAGGGGTGGGGATTTGCGGACCAGGAAAGGCAGACGGGGGGAGAGGGATGTACGGGGTCATTTCCGCGAACGGGACTAAGGCGTCCGGTGCTGGTTCCGGGGCAGTGGGTTGCACGCCGCCGTCGGCTTTCTGGGCGGGGGTGACGTTGAAATGGCGGGACACGGCTTGGAGATGGGTTTCGGCTCCGGGTTTCGGAGCGTAGGAGGCTTGGATGCGACGGATCTCAGCGGCGATGGTAGGGTCGTAGTGGGGGTCGCCGGGGAGGTGTTCGGGGAGATGGAGGGATTCGTGACCGGCTTGGACGACGGAGGGGAGGGAAACGGGTTCGGTGGTGGAGTCGGGGGTGAAGAGGGCGAGGAAGGAAGGGTCGGAGTAGGATGGGAGGGGTTGGTCGGCGGCTGGGGTGGAACGACAGGGAAGAGGCGGGTCGAGGGCGGTGCTCCACGACGCCAAACACACATCGTACAGAGAATCAACAACGGGTCCCTCGAGACGGATACACATCTCCAGATTATCGTTATCCTGGATATTATTCGACATCAACAACGCCACCTGGCGGTCCACAACCATGAATTTCGAATGAAACGTCCCTACGAGGGGGACATGGTAATTCACCACCTGCATCTCGATATTCGGGATCTCCTCCGGCGCAGGCAAATTCACTTTCGGGCCGGTATACGTCGCTGGGGGAACATGTTGATGATGAGTAACCGCTTGTTTCACATTGCCTCTATCGTACAACATCTTCACCACCACCTTCTCCCCTCCGCCGCGTTCTCCGACTCTGCGGTTGAGTTCCCTGAAGGCATCGGTGACAAGCCTGGATGAATCCGAGTTGATCCAGAAATTCGTGGCGAGGAACACCTCTTTCTGCGCACGCACGATGCAGTTGGACATGTGTTTCACGATATCCGGGAGTGGGGCGATGATGGTGAGGGGGACAACGCCGGACGTCGCGATGAGCGGCGGCGACACCATTCCCGCTAACGCATCCCCCGATGCTGCGAGGTTGCGGAGAATAGACTGGTAGATGGATTTGAACAGGGGACTGGGAGTCGTAGTTCCAAAGTTTCCTTCAACAGTTGGCTCGTTTGTGCAATCTTTCACATGCTCATACAATCGCTTGGCGATCTTCCCCGGTTCTTCAGTGTGATCCCGGGCGTATTCGCTGCTGATCGTCGTCTGGGACTGGACTAGCTCGTAGATCGTCGGATGCGTCATTGTGACTTGGTGGAAGGAGAAAATCAGCGCCTGTTATATTCCATGTTCGTGATGACATCAGTCGCTTAAAAATAGCTATAGCTTTATTCCCGCGTCGTCATCGCCACCAACGTGTTACATCATGTATCTTCCCCAGAATACTTTGACTATCTCTATCTAATCCGATATGGTGTAGTGGCTAACATTATCGCCTCTCATCGATCCACGAAGCGTGACTCGAGCGCGATAGCCCGGGGTTCGATTCCCCGTGTCGGAATCCAAAATCCAAAGGGAGGTTTTTTGGGTATTTTTGGTGTTGCAAATCTTTTCGAAAGAGTAAATAAGATAGGATGCTGATTTCAAGCTATGACATACAGAACATACCACCATGCTGCAGCGCGCCTGCTTTGTGTCTATAAGTTCTAAGCAGAAAAGTCAAGGTATTATGGGAGGTATCGATGTCCATGCGAATGAAGACGTATAAGTTGTACAAAATGCGATTCTAAAACTTCCGAGAAAAGAGAGGAATGAAAAAAAATCCATAAAAACACCTCAATCAAACACCCCAACCGCCCACCCAAACCACCACACCCCCATCCCCACCTGCATCAGCACCACCGCCGCCTCCCCAAGCACCGCCATCCACATCCCCAAAATCCCTACCCAAAACACCGGAATCACCCCCCACCTCACCCACCTGACCCCCCCATACTCCAACCACCCCTCCAGCCTGTAATTCCCCACACACCCCGCCGCCGTGCGCGCCTGCAGCACCGTCACCCCGCCCGACACCACGAAAAACCCAAGCAGGCCGAGCCAGTGGCGGAGCGACCGCGCCGGAACACGGAGCACGGCGTACCGTTTGGCTTCGCCGGTGAATTCGTTCCGGTACAGCGGGATGATCAGGAAATCCTGCACGTCGTCGCCGATCAGTTTGCCGTAGCTCCGCCAGAAGGGGGTCACGGAGTCCAGGATGAACGTGAGCGCGTCCATTCCGAGGTCCCAGAGGTGTTGGTATTGGTCTTTGTAGCTTTCCTCCAGAGCGACGATTTGGGAGAGCTAAAAAAAAGAAAAAAAAGTAAGATATCTGAAACGGTACTACCCTTGAACCCACCTCTGGATAAACAACACTCGTATGCGCCAGCGTGCCATTATACTCCCTCTTCACCTCCGCATGCACGACCTGCGTGTCTCGCAACATCTCACAAGCCTCTTTCCCCCGCCGAACGATCCCCAGTCGATGATCCTCCAATTTCTTCAACGTACCGAACAACGACTCGATGGGGTCTTTCAGGACATCCTGTGTCGCCAGGGCATCGGAACCGCTGTGCGTACGCGTACGCGTACGATTCTGATCCAAAAACTCTGCAAACACCGCCCGCTGCCTGGTCAGCCGATGATGGATGTCGTCCACCGCGCGGTAGGTCTTGAGTCGCTTCGTCGAGCTCGTCACGTTCGCCGGGTCGTGGCTGAATGCTTCGAAGAGTTCCGGCGAGATAGCCGTGTATCCGGACCTTCCTTTTTCCCCTCCCCCGACTCCTCCTCCTCCTCCACCTCCTCCTCCGGCACCGTGACCACCGTCCCCTGCGGTGAAACTAGCCTGACACACCTCGTACTCACGCATGTGCTGCGCAATGTGGTTGAGCACAGAGCGGATGTGGGCGTTGGAGTCCTTGCACGAGGCGACGAGTCTGGACAAGGAGTGAGTATGTGCGCAATACGCGTGTCAAGGAACAGCAGAAATGAGAGTGTACCCCCGGAAAGGAAATGAGAAAGACAAAGACAAGATGGAAATGGAAACAGGAAAGACAGAAGCAACGACAAGAACATGGGAAAAGGAACACAGGAAAGGAAAGACCAAAAAAACAGAAAACAGCAATGAGAAGGAAAAGGAAAAGGGAAACACCAAAGACCAAACACCAAAAAAGGAAACACCAAAGAAAGAGAAAAAAGAAAAATCAAAAATCAAAGAAGGAACAGTAAAACGTACTGTGCCTTCAACTCATACTCCATATCTTCCCTCGCCTCGTCCGCTTCTTGTTTCCGTTTTCGTTCTATCGCTGACCTTATCCGGTCTTCTTCAGTAGTAGGTAACGAGTTTCGATTCCGGAGCGCACGGAGCGAACGGAGGTTCCGGGTGTTCGTCCGTGTCCGTGATGCGGTATTCGAATCCCGGTTCGAACCAACAGCATCCGGGGCAGCAGTCGAGCCAGCGGACGAACTCGGACTTACACCTGGGCCTGAACCACCCCCGCGTATAGGCGACACCACACCCGGAGCAGCGGTGTCCGGCGCCTCAGATTCCACACGGATGAACGACCACCCGCCTCTATCCCCCCCGTTGTCACTTTGCTCGGTAGCTGAATTGCGCGCGGACGATCCGTACCCGTTTCCGTCGTCGCTATCATTGGCATTCGTCGTCGCTGCTGCTGCGGCCGCCGGTCTGGGTTTTCTCAACCCGAAACTATCTCGTATGTGTACTCGGCTGCGGCTGCTTGCGGGGGAGGAGAAGCCTGCGCCGCCTGGGGCTGGGGTGTTGGCGGTGGCGTTGGCTCCTCCGGAGCTGAATATACTGCTGAACGTCGATTCGAGACTCCGTCGTGACTCATTCGAGGGACGAGGGATGAAAGACGGGGGATCGAGGAGAGGCTCGAAGGAGATCCGACCGTGTTGCGGCGACGGTGGAGATGGGGGTAAGTTGTTGTTGTTGTTGTTGTTGTTATTGTTATTGTTGAAATGTGTGTAAGGAGAATAAGGACTGTGAGTGTGAGCGTGAGTGTGAGTGTAAGGAGTGCGGGGTGTGTAAGGGGCAGACCGCGTTTGTTGAGATTGAGATGGGGAATGAGCAGGAGCAGAGTGTGTAGAATAAGTCGAAGGAGGGGAATAATTCGAATATACGGAAGGGGGTGAATAAGCGGAATATGCGGAAGGAGTGGAATACCCAGAAGGTATTATGAACGCCGGTAATAAGTCGTTGAGACTCCCGATACCTCCCGCTCCTCCGTCGTCCGGGGGCGACGGCGTATCAGTACCCAAAGCGTAATAGTCTTTACCGAACTCGTGAATATGGGTAGTAGAATCGGGAGACGAAGGGTGTTCGGGGATAGAACGCATGGAACGAGCAGCGTAGGGAGTCGGGTTTACGGGTTGATGAAGATGAGGGATGTTTCGTACGGGAAGAGCAGGGAAGTGAAAATTATTCTTAGCGCTCTGAGCGAGGATGTATTCTTCCATGATCAAAGCAGATAAATGCCACGGCAGTCGAGTGGTAGTAGCAGTGAAATCTTCTTTGGCATTGTCTTCCTCCCCACCTGCTTTATCTTTATGACCCTCCTCTTCCGGTTGTTTAAGATTCCGCTTCTTCTCGAGATGTTTTAACCAGATGAACGGTTCCGCTTTTTCCAACGATGAACGCACGAGAGGATCTTGCGCGGAGTACCATTTGGATACTTTGAGGAGGTTGAAGTCCTTGATATCGGTCTCGGAAGCAGAGGAAGCAGAAGCAGAAGCAGTAGTAGTAGCAGTAATATCAGATTGGTGGTTGGGTAGTAGAGTCGAGCCAGGCTCCAAGAGGGAAGTATATGTCAAGTTATACCGTCGACCAATTTGATCCGCCGTGATAGCGACCTTCTTGCTCGTAGAAGGCGATGAAGCAGATTTTATCCGAGAAAGCTTAGCTGGCAAAAAAAAAAAAGGAAAAAGGAAAAAAAAAAAAAAAAAGAAAAGGGTCAACAGGGAGAAACGGAGGTGGTTTTAAATTGAACACCGCACCAACATACAATCCCTCCAACCTCTTCAAATCTTCCGCACTTGGTAACAATTCCCTTTCCCTTTCCTTTTCCTTATCCTTCCCCTTCTCTTTCTCTTTCTCCTTGCCCCTCCTCGACACGCTCAACGACCACCTCTTTTCACTTTTCTCAGCTTTCTCGCTCTTCTCGTCTTCGGAGCCGTACCCGTTTACTGAGCCCGAACCTGACCAATCTAACGTTTCACCACCGTCGTTCGAAAGGGGAATGGGATGCAGGCGTCGGTGAGGATCGACCCGGATGACGGAAGGGCCGGTGGAAGGACTGAAGTCGATATCTGTTGTGGATGGTGGGGTGAGAGTTGAGATAGCGGATGCTGTAAATGCCGAGGGGGTGGTTGTAGACGAAGGAGCCGGAGCCGACGGAGCAGAGGAAGAAGGTTGAGTAGCATCTGTGGTTGTTGTGACGGGTGTAGGACTCGTACTAGTAGGGATTACACTGGATCTCAGAGGAGACGACGGCCTATTCGTGGTCAGAGATCCTGAAACAAAAGCAGGAACAGGACCATCAAGCTGTCCAGACTTTCTTCGAGCTTCACGTCTCTGCTTCAGCTTCAACGCACGCTGAACGTCTTGTAGGATTCTTGGATCTATGTATAAATCATTGGCATGATTTAATTGGCAATCATCGAGGATAATGACCTGCCTTCATGGGCTAAACAATATCAATACAAGGCTTGAGCTCGAATGTGAATACCATTGAGAGTGACTACGCACATAAGTCATACTCGTCAGAAAACGTACCCATTCCCCATCCCGAATCTGCCGACGAATAATCTGGTTCGCTTTCTTTACTATCTGTCGATTCCAGAGAAGCCACACGGCGTCCAGAGGTCCCCGTTGCACCCATACTCGTAGTAGGCATTCTCCTACCTATACCTATACCCATACCACTTGTTCTGAGTCCGCTTCTAGTACCCCTCAGCGAACCATACGGGTTCCCAGCATCGACGGAAACGATTCTCCGTCGAGCACTCGTACTGGCATCCTTCGAGCTTCCTGCTATAGCATTATTAATATTAAGGCTCGTCTTAACATTCGCTCTGCTGTTGACGTTTAGAGGCTGGGCGTTGACATGAGGCTGGGTGTTAATATTAGGGAAATGTATCCGGGTAGAATGAGAATGAGCATGAGGATGGGAAGGAAAAGTCGGATTGGCGGAGGTTGAATTGGTAGGTTTGTTTGGGTCGCTGGGGTTACTTGGTCCTGCTTCTTCAGAAGATTCTTGCATCCGAGGACGTTGCAAGGACAAGTCGCGGGAGGTATTCTGCAGATATTAAGTGAAAGAAGGTAATTGTGATTTATTTGGCGCCCGTGGCGCTCAAAGTAGTCATGTCTTAGTCACATGCTCTCAAGTTTCCCCGTATCTAGTATCCATGTATCTATGTATCTACGTTTGTGTCTTGATTGTTCCTTCATCTTATGTCTGCTCTGGAAATTAGATCCGGCGGGTTTCATGAAAACCCAAGGCC